AGAGCCCCTGACGCCGACAACGCTCTTCGGCTCCAGGTGGATGCAGGACCCCTTGAGCGAGAGGCTCTTGGAGAACGTGAAGGTGGTGAGCAGGACGCGCACCCACTTCGGGACGAGTCGAGGAAGAAACACTGCCTGACCATGACCTTGCGGAGCTCCGCGCGGATCTCTCGGACCAACGCTGGACCCCCCCTGGCGCGCGCGGAGCGCGCCAAGGGCGGCGCGGGAAGCGCCGCGAGGGGATTCCGTCGCCGATCCCAACAAATTCCGCGCGGATCTCCGAGAGCTCAGCTGCGTGGCGGAGTCCGGAAACGCTGAACCCCAAAATGCTGTCATCTCTTGACGAGGCAACTTGTTTCACTCCTGCTGGCTTCCGCCAGCCTTCTGCCGAGCTTCCGCCGACTTCCGCTGGCGGAGGCGGCCTCGCTCTACTTCCGCCGACCTTCCGCCGAGGAAGAGATGGCAACTCCGTCGACCCTCGAAGGCAAGGCCCATCCTGGAACGCCTCACGTATGATTGCACGTTCTCTTCCTCGACATGAACACGAGCGCCTCCAGCCGCACCTTGCACCACAGGTGGACCCGCACGGCCGAGACCCGCACCTCGTCCACCTGCAGCGCCTGCCGCGGGGCCGGCACGGCCCACGATGCGTCGAGCAGCGACGTGCCCGCGCCGCGCAGGACCTTTCGAGTAGGGCATCGACTACAACATCGAATTGCATCACTTGTTGTTTCGGAATCGGCTCAAGAAGACGACGTATGCTGTTCGTACTACTTCTGCGAACGCTCTACGTCTTTGTTTCATGAATTCGACGCGGACGTCAATTCTCCCCCTCTCCCTCTCTCTCTCTCCCGCTCTCTCTCTCTCTCTCTTTGTCCCCCTCTCCCCCATGCATGAAAGGGGGATCCCGAAGAGTACCTCCTCGCCAACTCAAGCCAATTTAGGGGTACATCAATTCTGTAGTCGATCCCGTACCCGAACCTTGGCCACGTCGCCCTCGGCCGCCGAGCTCTGGCCGCCGCCGGACACCAGGCCTCGAGAGGACGAGCACAAAAATGCAGACGGTCGAGCTTGACTGCAGAGGGGCACGCGGAAGGGCATAGGACCCTTCCGAGGGAGGGGGAGGAGGTGGACGAGGAGGAGGAGGAGGAGGGGGAGGAGGAGGAGGAGGAGGAGGAGGAGGAGGAGGAGGAGGAGAAGGAGGAGGAGAAGGAGGAGGAGGAGGAGGGCACGCGTCCAAGAGGGGGCGAGGCGGGCCAGCAGCAACAGCAGCGAGAAGATGGAAAGTCCTGTCCTCGTGCTGCAGCTCTAACCAAACCAGACTACCCGATAAAGGGCGCAAGACTGGCACTGCGTCGCTTCAACTGTCTGAGGCGAGCCCTCATTCTATCCTTCAGCCGCCGAACCCCGCTCTGGGGCTGAAGAAGACGCGCGAAGCGCAGGTCATGGTAGCTCTGAGAGGCAAGGCCAAAGAAGATCGCACAGAGAACCAGTTCATTTAACGACGAGGCGGCCCAAAGGAAAACGGACGCCTTCTGGGAACTAGACAGGGCGAGGAAAAACGGGGGAAAGGAGACGGAAACCTGGGCACTATCTACAACAGAAGAACAACTACGATGATGTAAAAAGCAGTCGGCCCCAGGCTCACCACAGAAAACACACGGGCCAGTGGGGCCACGGAAGCGGGCCGAACAACACCAGCCGTTCGAAAACGTTTTCAAAACGGAGACTAAAGACATGCGGGCACAGTATGTTCAAGTTTACGAAGCGCCATCAGAGCCAGGTCAAGATCACAACACCTCGAAGACACTCCCAACTTCTTCATGCGACACAAGAGAGGAACGCGGTAGCCTTCAGGAGCAACTTTTCGGAGCCAGCGCTCAGTAACAGCTTGAATCCTGTGGGTGCCAACGGTCGGGGCCTGAGGGGTCGCGCACAACTGGTCGAAGTTGGAACTCAGCACGTGCAGGGAGCTCTGAAGCCACAAGGGATCTCTGTCCCAAAGAATTTTGCACTCGTCACTGGCGGCCATGGCGTAACCCAATCGAATTGCAAGCAAAAACGGTGCAGGGTGGCCCCCGACACCAAGTCCAACCGGCGGATCTGGCACGGCAGCCCCGTAGAGCACACATTCTCAAGCATAACAGGGTTGAGTGAGTTCATCGGCCCACATGCCCCGCTGCATAGACAGTATCATAGACGAGCTGAGGAGGAGAAAAGAACTGCGTGACGTACGCGAGACAGCTGAAAACGTTCTGGCTGGAGAGGGCGACACTTTTGATGAGACCAACACCAGCGCTCTGATGTCGTGACCACGAGCGATACACTTGCGAGCAGGAGCGACCCGCGACTTGTCATGGCCACTTCGACCGAGACGAATCCCGAGATACTTGGCGCACTTCGCGACAATGAACGACGACGGGAGACCCGCATTCCGAAGGAGGCGAGTATAGTCCGATTGAGGGAGGTCGACAATAGGCACGCTGACACACTTAGATTCGTTGAGAATTAGTCCCCATTTTGCGCAGCACATTCAAAAACAGGAAGGGCACGCGCCAGCGCTTGAAAGAGATCTTGCGCAACAAGCCCGACATCGTCAGCACAGGCCCAGAGCGCTGACGGAGTGCGTGTAAGCCTCGCGCCCAACATCCGAAGGACGGGGTCGATGCGCAGCGCGAAGAGGGAAGAGGAACGCGGGCGCTTCTGTTTGATTCCAAGTTTCACCCGCCGACCAGCTTCCTGCGGACCACAGCAGAAAACAGAAACCCAAACGTTGGAATAAAGCGCAGCAGCAACTCGGCGCATTTTGGCAGGAAAACACATGGCCCGTAAGATACACATAATCATGTTATGAAGAAGGGTCGTGAAGGCAATGATGATATCGAACGTCGCGTATCCTGCAGTTTGGGTTCCGTCTTGAAAACAACCATTCAAAGAGCCCTGAGTTCCAACGCAACGACATTGTTAATACACTTTCGCCCGAGAATAAAACCGCGCTGGAAGTCGATGCAACATTCTTGCAATGCCCGTGCCGCAGGTTGATTAACGGCTCGGCTGGTAAGCTTGTTGCCCGAATGGCCAAGGGTGGTCGGCCTGGTCTGGTCGGGGGCGCGGAAGACAGCGTCAAAGGCGTCGACCGCGCGCTCGCCTCTGGGACGAAAGACAGCTGCACCGTGGTGAAAGTTGACTGGCAGCCGACCGCGGGCAGGTGCCGCCCCGAGACCACGCACTAATGTGGCATCCCATCGGGACCTGGGCCGGAATCGTGGGCATGTTTCGCGGACCCGCAGGACTTCTCAAACCCAGGCTCCCAGAACATCAGGGGGGGGCACCTGCTGGATGAGTGGCAGTGGCTCCTCTCTCTCCTCGCGCCGAGGCCCGCGGCCCGGGCGCGCGCGTCGCCCCGATGCTGGGCCTGCGGGCGGGCCGCCTCGCGCGGATCAGAAACTCGTTGACCAATCGGGTCAGAGGTGCAAGAGAGCGTGCTCCTCCTCTTCCTCGCCCCCCAGGCACTAAGATAAGACGTGCGGCTTGTTTTTGAACAGTGGGGCGTTCGGACTCGGCTTGTTCCCTACCTAGGCTCTGCCTAGAAGGGTTCTTACTCTCTAGCTTAAAGGGGCCGGGCAGTGGAAAGCGCCCCGGGCGGTTCCCCCAGTCCCCGCCCCGCGGTTCCCCCAGTCCCCGCCCCCTGGGTTCACCCAGCTTAGCTTAGCTCAGCTTAGCTTAGCTAAGCTTAGCTTGGCTCAGCTTAGCTTAGCTTAGCTTATCTCATCTTAGCTTAGCTTTGATTTGCCTAACCTAGCTTAGCTAAGCGTAGCCTAGCTCATCTTAGCTTAGCTTAGCTTAGCTGAGCTTAGCTTGGCTTAGCTTAGCTTAGCATGGCTTAGCTTAACTTAGTTTAGCTTAGCTTAGCTTCGCCTAGCCTAGCTTAGCTTAGCTTAACATACCTTAGCTTCGTTTAGCTTAGCTTAGCTTCGCGCAGCATAGAGCAGCGCAGCATGAGCACAGCATAGCATCGCATAACATCGCCAATCATAGCATAGCATAGCATAGCACAGCATAGCATAGCTCTGCATAGCATCGCATAACATACCATAGCATTGCATCGCATAGCATAACATAGCATTGCTTAGCATAGCACAGCGCAGCATAACATTGCATAGCACAGCACATCACATCATATCATAATATACCATCGCATATCATATCACAGCGCAGCATAGCATAGCATACCATACCATAGCACAGCATAGCATAGCGCAGCATATAATGTCATATCATAGCCTATCATAGCATAGCATAGCCCAGCATAGCATAGCATAGCGCAGGATAGCGTAACATAGCATAACACTACTACTACTGCTACTGCTACAACTGCGACGATGAGGAGAAGGAGGAGGACGGCGTTTACCGTTACTACCAATATTGCTCTCCTAGGGGCTCCAACTCCTAGGTAGGGTCGCTCTGGGATAATTTTTGAACAGTGGGGCGTTCGGACTCCTCATTCCCCTGGGGCCCACGATGTATCTGTTCAGTTTAAAGGCGGCCCAGGAATTGGCGAAAGCCTGGGGGATCCAACCAAGCGCCAGACTGCCCACGTATAACGCGGCCCAATTCGGGAAAGGCACCCAGAGACCGCTGAAGAAAAAGGAGAAGAAAAAGGCGTTGTCCTTGACGAGCGCAACGAAGGGCTGCCAGAGCCCAGTGCGCCTTCTCCTCGGTGGACAGTGGCCCGCCAGAGCGCGAGTATTCAACGGCGCGTTTCGCAGCCTCCTTAATCGCATCTTTTGCCTCAATCAGGGCAAGAGCAGGATCGGGGTCCATCGGGCCAGCGTTGGCCATGAGGTCCTCGAGGATCGGGACGTACTGAGGGCGCCTGGGGGCCCGAGAGGGAACCCGAAAACCGCCGGACCGCGTGGCGTTCAACCGCAAAGCGACAGAAGCATGGTCAGATAGAGGCCGCTCTCCTCGCGCTGCCCAAGTCAGCAGACTGTTCGGCTTGAAATCGAGGAGGGCGTTGCTGGGGAGGTTGGTGTAGATGCCATCCAGCCGTGCAAGTGAGGCGATAGCCGGCCTAGGACCACTCACATCCATCACACGATGGGTGAAGTAGTGCTGTTCAACCTCGCACGAGTCCGAAAATATGGTGTTGCAGTATATGCCGCGGCTGGAGCTGCCGAAACGAACTCTCCCGTCGGCAGAATAAGAGCCTTCGCCCTCCGCATGAAAGTTGAAATCGCCACGCAGGAAAGCAGAACAAACATCAGGCCCGAGATGGTTGCGGATAAGGCGAAGCTCAACTTTTTGTTGGAGAACACTGCCCCAGGATCAATCTGCATGTTGCAAACGGGCATGCTTCCCCGCGGCCCATGTAAGGTGGTCGTATGAATGCGCCCAGGCACGAGCACAGAAGACAAGATAGAAGAGAACTGCTCCCGCAGACGCGGGTGAAGAAAACATGTGCCACCGCCTGCAGCTCATTCGTCAAAGAACGTCCCCCTCCCAATCGCACCCTTGCACTCCTTGCCAAAAAAGTAAAACTCATGTTGAGAACCATGAGACTCCTGCATGAAGACGACATCAGGATGCTGACAAAGCCGAGACAAGTATTGACCTTTCGTTTAAGTTTAGTATGCTGAGTCGATAATCCACCGAAGAGGGACCGTGCACTCCAGGTGGTGATCGAGAAGTCGGAGGCAATATAGAACGGAAGAGCAAAACGGCCAACAGGGAGCGAACTGGGAGAAATAGAGGGAGACGAACTGGAAGAAGAAGAATAATAATAATAAGAGGAAGAGCTGGACATAGAAAAAGAGGAGCTGGACATCTAGGAAGAGCTGGAAATAGAGGAAGAGCTGGAACTAGAAGAGGAGTAACTGACAATGACCGCCGCCGCTTCGCACGTTGCGTACTTCGTACGGCTGGCGAAGAGCACCCAAGCGGTCCGGGGGCCTCGGGCGGACGTATGAGACGAGGCAAACCCCTATTCAACAACTCCTTTCACGATGGCCGAGACCTGGTCCCGATTCCCGTCCTGGGACTGGAAAACGGAAAACTCGGGATTAATGTTGGCTGAGATGTCGGGGTTCTCCACAAGCGAACACAAAACCGTGACCTCCTCGTTTTTGGTGAAAACAAGATGCCTTTATGACCGTTGGCTCCGAGAGAAGTCCCTTGTCCGATCCCCTTACCGTTGAAGTGCTGCGACGCGGCCTGCCATGCCCTCCCGAAGATGCTGTTGCGGCGGCGGACATCAGCGGTGGCATATCGACGGGCACGACGCGAAAGGACACCTGGAGGCGAAGTGAACTTCAGACCGTTGACTTTGACATACTCGAGAAACGCCTTGGCGTCTGTGTCGGTCTCGAAGCGAACAGCAAACGTTTTCTTGAGGTTGTGCGCGATCACCTCCTTGGGGGCCATGATGTGCGAGGGGAGATGAGGAACGACAGCTTCATTCATATACTTAAACATCACACGCGCGAGCATCGGTTTGGGGAAGCCGCCGATCCAAATCTTGGTGGGGTCTGCATCCTTCTCGAGACTTCCCGATCCCGTGAACGAGCCTGTGGGTGGCGAGGGAGTAGCTGAACGAGACTTCCAACGCGAGTGTGAAGCGACCGAGGACGGAGACGAACTCGTGCTGGCGGTGTCCGAAGAGACCTGGGCAACAAGAACTTTTGCTTCAACACGAGCGAAAAGAGCAGCTTCTTGGGCTGTATTCAGACCTGACTGCACCTGGGACTTGAGTGTGTTGAAGCGGGCGGTGATGATGGAAACGTTATCTTCACACTTCTGCACAGTCGCCTGCAAACCCGAGAGATCTTCATTCGTGGCCTTGTTGCGCTCCATGCGCGCCAGAATAGCATGCAAGGACGAGTCAGCACCCACCTCAGATCCGCGAGCACGGACCTGTCGCTGGAACTCCTCCCCATCGGACATGACAGCAACCCCCAGAGACGAACGAAGCAGGGGCAGCAGCAGTCATGGGTCGAATTGGTGTCCGCCCAAGCACGACACTCGGGAACGCTCCTTCAAGAAGAGCTGCCCGCACAAATGGGACCTGCTCCCACTTGAGCCAAAATGGCAACGGAAGAGGAGAAGGAGGAGGAGGAGGAGGAGGAGGGCCACACGGTCACAGGAATGTGAAGGTATGGGTCGCAAAGCACAGGACACAAGGGCACCCTTGATCTGGCAGGGTCGACCTCCTAATCAACCTCGACTGCAGACAACAACTTGTGGAGCTCCGAGCGGACTTCTTGGATCGGCGCTGGAGCCCCCAGGCGGCGCCTCTGGCGCCGCCCCTGGCGTGCTCCGCGCGCCAGGGAGGGGGGGGGATCGAGCGGAGCTCCGAAAATGTAGATTTCCGTCGCTTCTCAAACATCCGACAATTGCATTTTTGAACGCGCGACCCCAGAGGTCCCGACCGCTTCCCGAGGGGTAACTTGTCGTCCGGGATGCGCTTTTGATGTTCACAGGCCCGATGCTGGGCCCCAAAGGCTGAAATTGAGGAAGCACGGCGGGCTTGGAAACGACATATCGCTGGAGATCTGGGCTTCTGTTCTCCGGAGGCCGGTGTCTTGCAGGAAGCCGCTGGCGCACGCGAAGACGCAGTCGTCGACCGTCAGCTCCAGCTCCTCCAGCTCGACGCGTAGCGCGTGGAGGTGCAGCTCCTGCGAGGAGGTGCCCCGCCTGTCCGCCACGACCCGCAGGACTGGCCGCATCGAGCTCGAGGCGGCGCCCCGGTTGCCGAGCGCGACCGTGCTGCCCCCGGGAGGCGGCCGGCGCATCCACTGCCGACCCCGAGATCCAGGCGCCGCAGAGGTACGACAGGTTCGCGTTGTGCCGACTTCGGCATTGGTTTCTGACGCCGCGGGTATCGTTCAACCTTGAACGATCGGTAATTTCCGAAACGTCCAAATCGTTCCACATCGAACGATTCTGGGTCGCCCGCGGCGTTCAACGTTGAACGCCGCTGGCGGGGTCGCCGCCGGTCGACACGACACGGACCTACCGTATCTCCCACGGGGCGTTTTCGCCCACTTTTTCGGGCCCTGGGGCCATCCCAGATCGATCTGGCTCGAGCAGTGCCGCAGAAAGGGCTCCGGTGGTGGCGTGTCGCGCGGCCGTACTCTTTGCTGCAGTGCCGGATCTCAGGGGATGTCTCGCTCCCTGCGCGCCGTGGAAGTCCAGCTGCATGTCCGAGATCGCGAGGTCGAACAGCTGCCGGTCCACGCCGTCTCGCACGTCCAGGCGCACGCGCAGGAGCTCGAGCTCAAAATACAGGAGCTCGGAGGCTCCCCCGCCGTGCTCGCCGACGAGCGAGACGCCGAGCTTGGGCAGCAGCAGCTCCAGCCGCAGTGCCGACGCGACCACGGCAGGGTCCGCGCCGTGCTGCACCTCGATGCGAGTGCGCACGCCGTTCTGCACGCTCTTGATGCTCGCCTCCCCGCCCGCGCAGCCTCCAGCCTTCTTGTTGGGCCTGAACTGGGTCGCCGCGCCCTGCCGCAGCGAGACCTCCACGGCGCGGTCTGCATCCGTGCCCAAGGGATCCAGCCAGCCCAGCTGCCGCTCTCTCCCGGGCAGCACCGTCGCCCACTCGGCGCCGCGCACGCGCACGCGGCACGGCTCCGCGAGGCGGTTCGCCAGGGTGTAGTTGCTGCCCTGCCGCAGCAACACGCAGAGCATGCCGCGGTCCGGGCGGGTCTCCAGGGTCCAGCTCGCGCCGCCCAGGAGCAGGGGGATGGCCCGCGGGAGGTCGTGCTCCAGGGGCAGCGCGGCCGACCATGCGGTCCAGCCGTCCTCCAGCGCGACGCGCACGTAGAGCAGGTCCGCCGCAAAGCCAAGGGCCGCCGACGCCCCAGCGAGCACCGAGGCGGGGGTGCCTCCCAAGAGCTCGGCCCGAAACTGTGCCTCAGTTAGATCGGGCATGTTCCCCTACAGGCGGATTTGGACGACAAAACAAAGAAAAATAGTCAAATAATCCCCCAAATTATCAAACATAGTAAACAAAATCGTCCCCATACTATTTTTGAGTATTCTTCCTCTAGAGGGGCATGCCCGACTTAGGCCTCGTGGCTCGCGGCGTTGTGCAGCACCAGCCACGGCACCAGCTCCAGGCACCTGGTCGGGCAGCCCAGCAGCTCGCTCGAGGGCAGCGCCAACGAGCGCACGCAGACGGCGCGGCCGTCCGGCAGCGAGGCCCGCCCGTGAGAGCTGGGCAGCGAGAAGGGCGGGCCGGCTGCCTGGGCGACCGCGAGCGCGTACTTGTCCATGTTGGGGGAACGAAACATGACATACGCATAGAAGCTCGGAGGTCCGCGCGGATCTGTCGGATCCGCGCTGGACCCCCCTCACTGGCGCGCGGAGCGCGCCAGGGGCGGCGCCGGAGGCGCCGCCAGGGGGCCCCAGCGCCGATCCAAGAAGTCCGCGCGGACCTCGGAGTTATTATGTTTATGCCATTCTTCGTTCCCTTACATGTGCTCGGCGCACAGCGTGATGCCCTCGAATGTCGGCAGCTGTGCCCCCCGCTGCACCGTCAATCCCCAACCAGTCCGGTCGACGAGCCAGCACGGGCTGTGCACCACAATCTGGGCGTCTGCCCACGCGGCCACCGTCAGGACCGCGCCCGCCTCCCCCTTCAGCTCCGCCTCTGCGTCGTGCTCCCGTTGGCCCGCCTCCGCAGTGACGCCGACCAAGGCCCACCGGTGCGACCACAACCGCCCCAGCAGCCGCACGCGCAGGGCGACCTGCCCGGGGCAAGCGACATCGTACACTGCAGTCCTGCCCAGAGCGGGCACTTCCACTCGCCTGGCCGCTGCCTCTGCCTCGGACGCGAGCCGATACTCCACTTCCATCGCGCAAGGCAGCACCGAAACCAAGGTCAGCGCCGGCAAGATGCGCAGCCAACAGCAGGGCACCAGAGCTGGCGGGGCTGACAGAGACACGCTGCAAGCCACCAGCAACGACGACTGGCCGCTCTGGACAGGGACAAGCCTGTCCGCGACGCCCAACCTGTCGATGGCCACCCACTCGCCGCCGCGCAGCGACACCTCGACCTGCGACTGGAGGGCCTGGGCGAAGGAGCCAGCTCCACCTGGAGAAGCCGCCGTTGCCCTGAAGGGCAGGCCCACCACCTCCCCGGGCTCCACGAGGGGCTCCCGCGACGCCGCGGGCATGCGCCCCTCTGGCGCCCCCGGGGCCAGCAGCGGCCGGGACCCGAGCAGCAGCGCGGCCCCCGAGCAGTGGGTGCATGGCAGCGGGGCGCTGCCGCGGGCCGTTCGCACCCGCAGCGGCAGGGACGTCGCGTTGAGCAGCAGGCACTGCGGCGACACCAGCAGCAGCGCGTAGTCGGCCCGCGGACGGAGCAGCTGCCAGAGGAAGGCGTCGTCGTCGGGGCCCGACCGCCACACGGACCCGATCCTCGTCAGGCTCAGCCTGGGGCCGCTGTCGAGCTCGACCTGTTCGCACCGCTCCGGGAACACCCAGCGGTCCATCGACCGCCACTCGCCAGTGTGCGGGTCGATGCGCACGCTCTCTCTCTGCGCCGCGCCCGGGAAGCCCAGTGCGACGCACCTGCCCGTGAGATTGAGGACCCGGAATCGGGGGGCTGTGCTGACCTCCGTGTCGTCGAGCGAGGGGCTCAGCATTGACACCAGGTGTGGCACGTACCAGGCCAGCTGCTTGATTGCCGTGGGGGTTGCGTTGAGCATGAGGGGCCGGTGGCCAAACACCTTGACGCTCTGCCCCTCCTCGGCAGCGCGCGCGGCCTGGCACGTGATCGTGAACGGCTCGACCAGAGGCTCGAACCTGCCGACCCGCACACTGAACACATCCATACCCACCTGGAGCATGAGCGTGGCCTTGATGTCCAGGCTCTCGGTGTTCACGGCGACCTCGAGAGCGTCAGAAGCCACATGCAGCCGAATCACTGGGTTCAACGCGTCCTCGAACAACACGACCGACGGCCCCAGCCGGAAGTTCACATGCAGCGTCCGAATCTTCTGCACCACCAGCGCGCGCTGCTCGTGCGCGGCCGCCCGCAGTGCTTCCTGGGCGCGCTTCCTGACCGCCGCCAACCTGGAGCCCTCTCTGATCCCCCAGCGTGCAGCCAGTAGCTCGCTGCCGGGCTCGGACTCCGCACCGCCCTCAAACAGCGTGGTAGGCGCCGTCGGCAGAACGGGCTGCTTGGGCGCCACCTGGACACCACATGGCACCTCGACTCCACTACCTCTGAGCGCGGCCAGTGCAGATTGTGGGGCGAGGGCGAGGATCTGGACAATCTCTGGAGAGGCCTTGAGCTGGAGCCCGTCCAGCGTGCCACCAATCTCCACGGCGTCGGCTTTGGTCTGGAGCGTGGCCTGCAACTCGAATGGCGCCACCACGTCATGCCGCAACCCCATGTGATCAGTAGCCGCTAGGTTCATGTCGGAGAGCGTGAGTGTAAGCTCGACTGCCTCCATCGTGCACGCCCTGGGCGTCCTGATGAGCATGCTCCCCGACGACACCCACAAGCCGCGGTTGCCAGGGACGGGGAGCCGCAGCCGGGGGCCGCTCAAGGCCACATGCAACTCGAGAGCATCTGGGATCCTGGCCTGTGCGCCGGCCAAGACCTCCTTGCCCCTGTCGCTCTGTAGCCACTGCTCGCCGATCGATAAGACGCCGTCTTCTCCCGCAACGTGCTCCTCGTCGCCCACGCTGGAGGATCCCGAGCGCCCACGGCGAAGCGGATGGGGAGCCCTCCGCTCGTCGGCGAGGTCGAGGCGGGAGAGCTCCTCGTTGACCGCCAGGCCAAACCGCTGCAGCGGGGGGAGCAGCACGTGCTCGATGACGCATCTCGCGTGGCCCTCCTCGCTGACCGCCGCGGCAAACCGCTGAAGGCGGGGCAACAGCGTGCGCGAGATCCGAACCTCCAAGGGCTGCGACGCCAGCGACACGCTCACCACGGTGCGCTCCGGCTCCAGCCGGTTCCTCACGCTCAGCGCCACGGCAGGCGGCTCGCCCAGCCTCACGGCCCCGAAGTCGACGATCCTGAGATCGCCGTCCGCCGCCCACATGCCCTCGGCCTCCACCGCCAGGCTCCACCTCGCGCTGGGGAGGCGCCTGTGGTCCGTGCCGCTCTCGATGTCCGTGGCCAGCCTGCCGCCCAGGAGCGTGGCCGTGATGGCCCTCTCCGTGTGCCTGTCGGGGCCAGGGAGGAGCTCCAGCTCGAAGCTCGAGAACACCATCTCGACGGAGACACCATCTCGACGGAGACCGTCCTCCACAGCTCCAGAACGTCCAGCGCCTCCGCGTCCTCCCAGAGCCTCCGCACGGCCTCGCCCGCGGCCTCCTCTAGAGGCAGGAACGATGACA